ATTTCAAGGAATTTAAAAAATAATCACAAAATATTTTGAAAGAAACTGTAAAATGACAATTAAATGACAAAATTATTTATGAAATTCCTTTTTTTATTCTAAAAAAAAAGAAAATCTACTGATGTCAAATTATTTTTACGCAAACATTCTTTTCATAGAGTACACTCAATATTGTTTCCATTTTTAATCTACTATTATTATTGCTTTTTTTTCGATGAATTTTGATTTCTAAAATGTCTGAAATGTGTCTGTCAAGGAAATTTTTTTTGATATTTTTCTATCACTAAAATTTAAAATTTTATCGTATCCTTTGTAGTATTTGTTTAATTACATTTTATTACTAACTACGATAAATAACAAAATAGAAAATTGCATTGGCAACACTAAGAGCAAACGGTGTTTTTACATATTTGTAAAATGTGTCACCAACTTTACTTAATGTGTCACCAACTACACAGCAATCACGAGGTTGGAAAAAAAGAAATTGCTAAATAGAATATCTGATTTTATCAAATATGGAGGAAACGTTCAACTTTTTGAAACGATTCATTGAAATTATCAAAAATGAAATATATTAGACTGTGCTAGTTATATAAGCTATTAGAATGATACTCAATTATATCCATCTTTTGAAAATATTAGTCGGGGCGCTTTTGGTTTTAATCAAACTAGTTTTCGGGATCTATTCATGAAATTATTGAAATTAGTTTTCGAAATCTATTCAATAGCTTTGGAGGAGGTTTGAAAGATAACAAAGAAGTGTAGAATAATTGACAAACATTCTAGGAGTATATAAGCTTTGAAATAATAAAAGAAGATATTACTGAATTACTAAACTACTCTCATTTTGCAACGAAAAGAATTGTTTATTAATATCGATGCACTTTCCGGAATTTTTCCGGAGTTATTTTGGGACCATTAAATGAGCAAGATTGCAGGAATAGTTGACAATTAAAGGATATAATATGTTCGGGTAATAAATTGAATACTTTATCAGTTTATCAAAAGTTAGAATTCAAAGAAAAAATCAGCTAGAATATAAATGAAGGACTTTTTTTTTGCATACAAACAATGCCAATTATGTAGATAACATGAAAAATGCAGTTTATCAAAATGTTATCCATTTTCATTTCAAACAGGTTTAATAAGCAGATAGATGCATTCTTGAGAATATAGCACTTCAATATTGTGCTGGAAGTAATGATTCAATTCCGTTTTGCTCTGCAAAAACAAAATTTTTAATTTAAAAAAAAAGAGAAACGCCCATAAAATTGTGCTTCTTCCGACGAAATTTACAAATTTCAACATTTTTGAGACAAAAAATTGTCCTGATTAAATAAATTTTAAAAATGAATTTATGAAATTGAAATAAAAATTTTAAAACTTCTATTCTACTTAAAATCATTTATCTTACTTTGATCCTTTTTTAATAACGACAACGTTTTTTGTTATATTTTGGCGGATGATCGGAATGTTGTTATTGTGTTGAGGATGGATTGATCAAATTCTGATAAAACAAAGATAAATGAACTAACGGTCCTCTAGGATTACCTTACCGGAAAATAAATACACAATGCATTTTAAATAAAAGTAATATGATCATTCAAGCATTTATCAGTGATGTTAACGTAAAAATGGATGTTATTAAATATGAAATAACTTTTCAAATCTAATAAATATCGCTTACCTTACTTGTCTCTTCCTTCATATATAATGGTTTATAATCACCTTTGAAATCCATATATTAAACTGAAATTCAAAAAAAAAAGCGTTTCAGCTTGCAGCAACAGTTAGGAAAGATAATAATAAACCGATGAATCATATTTTAGCAATAATTTATAATAATAAGGTGATTATTTTTGTGAAAATATTGGAATATGTTAGAAATTCAAAAATTGAATAAATACAAAAATTTAGTATTTTCGAAAGGCAGAAAAGGTGTAGTATTGTGCAGTGGCATTGAGCTTCAAAAAGGCAGTGAGATGAGTGATATTATGAAAAGTAATGTGACAGATCATCTGAGCCAGTAACAATCAAAAATAATTATGACAGGCGCAACAGTCCAGCGATAGTTCAGTTCATCTGACACCTGTTTAATTGCAACTGGTTTCATTGGATAGTGAACCATTCGCTTTAATAATATATTATTTTTGATTTCGTTCATCCCGAAGAATCGAAAACAATAATTTGTTAATGGTAGATAATACGAAATGTGAGCATTTTCAAGGAATAAGAAGGTCAAAGGGCAAAATCAACAAGTTGTTAGGAAACAAAAAAAAAAAGGAAAATTCATCTTTTTAAACTTATTGCTTTATTACAAAAATGAAAACAAAAAATTTTTATTTTTCAAATAATTCCTCAATTTGCACTTTTCACTTTTTTATCAATTTAAAAATTTATCGTACCTTTTTTTCTTTAGACTGATCAATTCCATCTAAATGCTAACTGCTCCGCTAAGTGACCAAATTTTATGATATCATCTGTGACACAATTAAATAACTTTAAATTCTTTAAAAAATCCTCTCACACATATAATTTGAAGGGCAAATTATTAAATTCCTTATTTTCTTTTTTAAATATATAAAAATAGACAAAGATAAAGTTGTATTATTATGGGTATTATTTAATAAAGCGAAAGAATAGAAAAACTTTTATTCCTTTTTTAATCTTTTCCTTTTTCCATATCATTTCCTATTTTATATCAATTTATCATTCTTTTATGCAAAATCAGTTTACAAAATTTCTCACAAATTTGTCGCCATTTGACCTTGTAACATAATAGATTAGTTCTTTGAGTATCCGATCCACAAAACTATAATCCTTTATAATGATACGAATTTTAATAAAACTAGAAAAAAATTAAAAATAAGCAATTATTTTAATTGCATTAAATGATTAACTATCTATTGAAATATTCATCCTTGCATTTAAATTAATTTAATTGAACACTTTTTTATTCAAACGTTCTTTCGCTATAATATTTGATCATTGATTTATTTAGAAAATATGAAGTAATGCTTTCGTATATATTCAAGCCAATCTTGTAATCATTGATAAATGTCTATTATGAATTAACCATACATTTGCTGATCATGTTATCTTCCAACATGTCATTACTAACTAATTAGCAGCATAACTGTATTATCATTATCATAATAGTAGTGATATAGATTGCAGTATTAATATGATATACCATAATACGTAGAATTTGTATCATTTCATATCTTTATCACAATGATAGTAACAATGTTATAGTATTTTTAGCAATACTATTCGCTTTTGGTTTGCTACATCCAATAAGAAAGAAATATGTTTGATTATCATAATTTAAAATTTAAATTTCATGATAAATTTAGACATCTTACTTTTTTTTACTTCTGCTTCACTGCACTGAAAAGTTTGCACACAAGGTATGCCAAAAATTAACTCTTTGCTATGTTTAACATCGAAATTCACTCATTAACAATGCATCATACGATTTATATTCTAAAGTATATCTAGGAGAAGCATTACTTCACGTCAAATATAGTAAACTGAGGTCAAATGTAATAAATCAGTTACTAATTAATACACACCATTATCACTTCATCTAGCTGACTTTATCACTAATCAGTAAACGATTAATGGCTCAGAAGAGAATATCATGATAAGATTTCATTCGTGATTATTAATTACTCCAAAGATATGAAGTAAACTATACTTTAAGATTGCTAGAAATTTAAATCTGACATTGTATTTAGCATACTTAAATGTCAGCAATAAGGAAATATAACTAACGTAATTTCACGTAGAGGATATTTACGTGAAACGTGAAGTGCGATCATCGAATAATTTCAATGGATTACGTTTTGATAAGTAAAACAATCATATAGCATATATGGCATCAGCATTCTGCTATTTGTGAATTTTCCAAATTTTTTAAAATATTTTAATTAGGCTCGATTTGTAAAATATATCGTATATCATGTGATTTTGGTCATAGATTTGAAACATTTATTAAAAAAAATTTCACTTTCAATGAAAGGTATCATTTTCAATGTGCTATAATACAATGCACGAATGTCATATTTACAAATGTGCAATCCATGAATTAACTAATTAATTGACTGATTAATTGTATGTACAGCAATTGAAACGTATCATAAATCGAAACATTCGTAGCAATGTTTTCCTCTCCAACTCAAACATTCCATACATCGGTCGTATAATGGCTAAAAGAAGCTAATTTAAGGTATGAAATTTACCTGTCAGATAAAAGCTGCAAAAAAAAAAAAAAAAGAATCAGGTTCAATAAAAGGAAAAAAATGAAGCCAAAGGATGGAAGAATGAAGCCAAAGGACGGAAAAATGAAGCCAAGGAATGGTAAAACGAAGCCAAGAAATAGGATATTCCTGTTTTTCTTTCTAAGAAAAAAAACAAATATGCAAGAAACGAACCCTTCCTTTTGCCAAATCACAAAACCAATGACATTCATGGATCCAATCTTTACAAACTGTACGAAAACATCGTTTAATCATTAAATCAAGCTGTAAAATATTCATCAAATATCACTGATAAAAATTTTCAATAATTACTAACCCTCCTTTAACGTTTTTTCTTTTCTTTTTTTTTTGTAACTTTTTTGGAAAAGGTTAAGGGTTAAAACTGAAAATTAAAGGCAATAAAAATAATGAAAAATTTAACATCCTTTTCATATTATATAAGAAATATACAGAAAGAAGGAAGAAAGGATTTAATTGAAACTCTTTTAAAGGTATAATTTTTAAATAATAACGACAAATCAAGCATATCAAAATTTACATTTGTTATATATGCTTACGCATCCGTGCAACATTACAAAACGGAGGACATTGATCAATGTCCTTCAAAAAATTCAAAAAAAAAAAGCCTTAAATAGGATGATATAATGATGAGTGATTACAAACTGTTATGATTTTATCTTCGATCATCACATTTTTTCTTTTTATTTTTAACTATTAACCAAAAATGAGTAGGTGTCATTTTTGTTGATTCAAATTTACATTTAAATGCTATAAAAGTTTTTTTTCAAAGGTTGAAGATTAAATTACCTTGTTCAGAGATTATTATCTTAAATGAATCCGAAAAGTTTTATTTATGACTTATTAATATTTATTGCTTAAGTAGTTGAAATAAATGGATAAAAATTTCCCATTACATTTGAGATAACAATCTCTGAATAAAGCAATTTAATCTTTAACCTTAAAAAAATCTTTTGTAACATTTGAATGTAAATTTGAATTAACGTATGCATTATTTAGAAATAACATCTGCTCAGTTTGATTTATTGTTAGTGAAAAAAATAATTAATCATTAACATTATTTGTTTTAAGTGTTAATTAATTGATTGAGTGAATAAGCCAATTTAATTGATTTAAAACTTGTTTACAAATTAAAAGATTGTAGTGCATAATGTTAGAATAATTGTATAGAAATATGATATAATAATAAATTTTATGCATACCTGATGATAGGATTTTTGTCGTGGTATTGAATATGAATAGACGATAGTGTTAACTGCTATCAGTGTTATCAGAAAACTAAACGATCGGCCGTCTACAATGTTGTTCATCATGACCGTTGAAAACACTTACAGAATGATATTATTATAATATCCAAACTGATCTGTCACTCTTTTGATAAATTTCTTCTCCGCAGTTATCAGTAAATAATAGGGAAAAGATAAGGATAGACAGGTAGGCAACGATGATATATAATTGATAAGATATGGAATGATGAGTATATTTCTGGGAAAGTGTACGATTTAACCTCCTTTTACACTTTAAACATATCTCTTGAAATGAAAATATGATATATATATATATATATATGACCTGAAATATTTCCTAAAATGAAGGGATGGTATATATTATATACATAACCTGAAATTCGTGATATGGTTTTATTGAACTTGATGCAAAACATTTGGATAAAAATGCTATGAAATTATAGTAAAATTTCAACATGTTAATTTAAATTTGATGACATTTTTAGTTCCTGAAATGTTGGTGTTACTCAATTAAATTTTACAACAATGATTTAAGCAAACAGTAAATTCAATTAAACTATGGTTAATGAAATCTAACATTTGTCACCCCGAAAATACGTCGAATGTTGATATATGATGAGCTCAGCATTTCTAGTCATTTGAGATAACCTTATCGTAATTAATTACTTAGGCAATTTATCCATCATAATCAATTGATTAGATAATTCATTTTATTCATTACTATAATATATGAAAATAATCTGAAAGACGAATAGAAAATTCATGAAAACTTTTAATAAATTTACAAAAATTCTTTCGCGCTTGATTTCACAAATTCCAAATCTAGCAAAATGAAAAAATTGTTTAGGATTGAAAATTTAGTTTACGACAATAATATCTGAAAGTTTCCAATATTATTTCAAAATTGTCATGGATGGTTTCAGCCGAAAATTATAATCATAATAATGACAATAAGAGTATTTGGGTTGTTTCATAATCGGTGCATTATGCAAAGTAAAATTTTTAAAATTGATTGAAAATATGCATAATTGTACTATTACCACCTGAATTGATTATTTGGCGGTTAAACTATTTGGCGGTTAAATTTGTGTGACCGAATGTCCAGTGGAAATTATCTGCAAGACTATTTCATTTCATTTTGTCTTCAATATCAGTATGTCACTTTCAAGTTCTGAACTTTTGCTTATTCAAGAATGGAAATAATGATATGATGATGCAGGGAATGATGATTATACCAAACATGATAGTGAAGGAAACGGTACTAACAAGATTGTTAGCGAAGTTTGAATTAACGAAATGCTTAAATGTAAATTTGATATCATCGGATTTACTTGAATCATAATTCGAATCACTTAATTAGTACTTGAAGGTATAATAGATCTGCTTTAATCAGCTAATCATCAAAATATCATAATGTCAGGAAGGAAAGAAACATTGAAAAGCTCGTCTACTATTATTTACTATTCACTTGAAATTTATTTTATGCAAAGAATTATGAATTAAATTCATTTCATTTTTATCCGATAAAGAAGAAAAACTAATTCATCATTCCTTTCATTACGTAAACAACAACAAAAAACTTCCAATTCACTCCATTTTTAATTACCAAATGCAACTAGATGTAAATAAAAATTGAATCAAAATTACCTGAACTCTTTTGATACAGATGACACTTACCTTAATGTCACTTTAATTTTTTCTACATTTCAAAAAAAATAGTGTAATTTAATATCTCAATTATTTAGCCAATATATTATATGTAACTTATCCAATTTTTAGCTATTCATTTTTACATGGAAAATTTTTAAAATACTTAAAATTTAAAAGTAAAAAAAATGTTTTTAATAATAGTATTTGAGGCCAAAATTGAAGCTATTTTGAAAATGTGTAAATGGTGAAAAGACGAAATGTAAATAACCTAAATATGGTTCAAATCATTTCCACTCTTCGGTTCTCCAATTATGCTAAAATTATCCAATCGTAGCCTCATTTACATAAAACGAAAACGTAATTTTTATTGACATTGAAAAAAATATCGTACTTTTGTTATTTTTGCAAATATTAGCAAAATCAACGAATGATTGGACGATTAATTGAAAGAATGAAATAGTTCGGAAGTTTTGCAAACAAATATTGCACTAACAAAAAATCTAATTTGAATTTTAATCCCTTTCAATAATTTTAACAAAATGATGGTTCTTGATTTGAACTTTGATCTCCTTTAATAATCTTAACAAAAATCATGCTGGGATGATTTTTTTCGAAAAAATAATGTTGTAAAATGATGATGCAGAAGTAAGAAGATGAAAGAGTTGTTTTTAATTACTTTTTAAATTTCGTTCTCTTATGATAGTAATTTGAAAAAAGTCAAAAGTAAAATTATAATTAAAACTTTAAATGAAACCACTAAAAAATTCCTTTTTTTTTTAGAGAAAAAGATCTCTTTTGTAAATAAGCAATCAAACTGTCAACATTTTATTAATTCTTATTTGTTCTGTTGACCTTTTGTGAAAGATGGCTCTGTCTTAGAGGTAAACGCTCGATATTGACATTTCTTTTGACCACTTTTTTTGTCCAGTTTTAATTCTTGTCATACGATGCATCTTATCAAAACAACAAATGCTAAGGGCAAAGTTCAAAAATTAAATCTACAATTGAAGCTAATACATTGAAATTAATGAAAATCGTAGCAGAAATTGGTATATAACATTGTTTGGTCTGTAGAAATTTTCATAATAAAGAGAATGAATAATGGAGATAATAGAGAAGTAGAAAGTAAAGAAGTAAAAGAAATCAAAGCAACGAGAATGTTCTTGCTCAAATTCATCATCTATGTCCTCTTCTGCTTTCCCATCACCTTGCAACAGCTATTATGATGTTAATGTCACCCCTTATTACACCTTTCCTTCCGTCTTGCGCCCTTTTCATCCATCCAATTTAGACAAGATGTTGCTAAAGAAATGATAATGAGAGGAATGGTCCCAAAAGTAAACTAAATGAATGGCAAGATATGGTCGATTAAGCCTTAAGTGCACTTTAATATGTTGAATTATCAAAGGAAATATTTCCAAATTTTGATCACACAACAAAAAAAAAAAGAGAATCTATTTAAATTAAAATGTAAACATTTCCTTCAGTGATAAAATAAAAGTTTAAAACATAAAAACATAAATCGATAATTGTATTTTGGAATTAATCACTGGAAGAATTTCGTCAAACATTCAAATGTGCTTATGTTGTCGAAATAACTGAAATAATCCAGTATTTTTTCGGAATAATTAAGAAAATTTTCCAGCAAATTTTATTTATATAAAGAATAGAGAATATTTAGGATTTTTTTCTTAATGCAATAGCTTTTAATGTTGTAACGATGTTTTTTAGTAACAATCAAATTAAGTTTAATTTATGAACAAGCCTCATTTGTTGTGTCACGTTTCATGCTCTTTAATTAAATAATTAAACTTGATTTGATTACTAAATTATTGTAAATAATTCAATTTATAAGAATATAGGTTAATCACTTTTTTCTATTTCTCTCAGGATTTTGTTCTTGAAAATCATCATCCTTTCAACTAAAACTAAAATTTCCCAGTAAAGTGCGCTAAATGGTTTTAGTACTCGGGTATGATTTCTACCAAATTTGACAATTTTTCTAACAAGAAATTTTAATAATATTTTTGCGATAGATTTCAGCTGTGATATTCTCTAAAAACAATCACATAATGTCCGTGAAGAAACAGTTCTCGATCAAAACTTTTGCCTGAACTGTCCGACCAACAACCAAGCAGAAGAAAAACTTTTGCCACAAATTTTTGGTATCATAAATTGGAAATGGGAAATTTCAACTATTACAATCGATGGTGCACAACCTGGTAAAGGAAAAACTCGAAAAACTCGATGAAATCGAAAAAATGAATCAGAAGCTACCAGATCATTTTTTAATTATTAAGGGAAAAACTATGACAATAATATGAGGCCAGGAAAAGATTTGTCAAAGACAGAATCATACATTGGCAATCATGAATCATGAATCAATCGGCGTAAAATAGATGGAATTCCTTCAGGAAATTGTCATCCTGCATAGGAGCAAAGAAGAAGAAACAAAAGAATTCAAAAGAATCCAAGGAATTAAAAAAAAACAGAAGGACCAATTGCTTCGAGAATCAAAGGAGCCAGGTGAAGTGAGAAGAAATCCCGAATAAGTTGAATTCAATAATGAAAAAATTTATTCGTAATAACTATTATTTTCATATTATCTTTTCATGCAACGACTCAAGGAACAATCAAATATAAATGGATTCCCGGAACTCCGTTCAGTGTTACTGAGAAATGGAATTGTGAAAAAATCAGAAACAGAACAAAAATTCACGTCAACTAAAGTCTTTGTACATATTTGTTGAAACTTTTATATGAATACTTAACTATAAAACATAAGCAACATTACAAAAGCATTTTTTAGATCCTCATTATCCGTTAATTACTGATTCCGGTAAATCTTTTGATTTCTGCAGAGATTTAAATAATCAAATAGTAATAAACGGAATTGCTTTGAAACAAATTTCTTTCGAATAATCAATAATAGATTCCTATGGATAGTTAGGAATCAAATGTCAGTTTACAACAAATTTTGTATTGATGCGGAGAAAAGTATTACTGTATGATGAAAAAAAGTTAGTATCGAATTTTAATGATGCTGATGATTGGAACGAAAAAAGAAGTAACCATGATTTACAAAAATCGAAAGATTGGAAGGTATGATGTTCAAATATACAGAAATGAACCTCAAATTTCATCTATTTTAAAAAAATGAAAATGAAGCAATTAGGAAAAAAAATGATAACTTGATTGATACATGCTTAATGAATGATAATATTATTGCTAATATGGGAATTGTCAAAAATTTTAACCAAATTTCAGAATCGAAAACATATAAATTCAAAGTAAAAGAGTTAGCTAATTACGATGGAAACAAATAATATGATAATGAACGATCCAATAAATGTTGGATTCCGGTATATTTTTGATCTTTTTTAAACGAGAATTCAAACAACTGCTAGATTAAGTGTACCAAAAGGAGTTGCAAAAACCAAAATAACCTATTATTAGCGATTGAATGGATATTAATCATCATCATCATCAATGTCTAACCTTGGCCATAAAATTACTGTTACAAAGATATGATGTGGTAGCAAGAAGAGTTAAGGGAAAGCTATTAGTCATTCTGTAAAAATTTCAATTCAAAAATTGTAGAATTTAAATGAGGTTTTGAAATTGAAAGAATCAATGTTGCCGAACTGGATAGTGATAATGAAATACGAAACGATCAAATGTGATAATGTGATGATGAGATTGAGCAAAATACTCAGTTATCTGGTGAAGGTGGGATCGAATCCCAGTTATGGATCGATTAGAAGTGGAAGGAATCATTGGTGATGGAAAAAAAAAACTTTCTCTTAATTTCTTACTTAAATTAGTGCAGAATTTTAACCTTGCTTGACTCTATAAAAATGCATCACAAAATGAATCAAAACTTATTTGGTACAAAATTCGGATTAAAAATTACTGACATCAACCGGATCTGTTGTTACTTCCTGAAGATCGAATGAGAGACTTGTTACATAATTGTAAATATTGATTTTTCGAAATAATACATAAGCGCATCAATGACAATTCACAAAAACCAAATTCAAATTTTTCAGCGTTTAATTACTCAGTGAAATCACAGTCCATTAACAATGCTGAAATTTGACCAATAAATTGATCTTTGAACTTTGAATGATATCGTCACTTAGGCATAGATGATTGGATTGGAAATAATGTAATCTGCATTGGTTTGTTTAGTATTTTTTAAAGTAACTTACTTTCATATAAATATATTCATTACATTGTTAATATTTCTGAAAATTTACAACAATATTTGCTCTATTTGATAATTTAAAAGTTAATTATAGCTTTTAAATGATTTAGTGATTAATTATTATCAGAAGATAACAGATTCAGTTTCTTATCTTGATTTATCATTGAAAAAAATAGATAAATAAATGAAGCAAAACAAAAACACGAAGATGAGAGTAACACATTTCATTGTATTTGTAATTTCATCATCTTCCCAAGTCTTTTTTTTTGTGACAATTTTGAGCGATAATTGAAGTATGGATTTTTCCCAGCATATAATTGTAACTAATTTTATTCCTGTTGTATTCAATTTGAGATTATTTCCCACCATTAAAATTGTCTAAAAATTTTAAATTATGAGGCCTAGACATATTTTACATTAATATATACGCAACAAATATTATGAAATTTACAGGAATGAAAAAAATTTTCAAAAAACAAAATTTTAAAATGCAAATGATTGCTACAGTGATAGTTAAATATAATATGATATGAACCTGAAGATAAGATTAATTAGAATTTAGGAAATGAAGGGGAATAGAAAAGTTAGCGAATCATCATATATTATGGCCAGCATCAACCAATGTTATCATATTTAACTACTACTGTATCAATCTTTATACTTTATTATATTTAACTATTATTGTATCAATCATATATTTAACAACTACTGTATCAATCATTTACATCTTATAGTTGATCAAAATATTTCCCATGGCTGGCTGTATCAAGCAGAAAATGAATAGACCAGAATTTTAGCCCATTCCAATTGTTCATACAATATGAATAGTAAGGGAAAAATTTCGCATAAAATAATTTGAATTTCATGAAATATGCAAATTTTATGGGTTACGTATGCAAATTAAATCCCAAATGAATATTCGGAATAAAAATGATATAATTTTTAGCTTATAAGCTAGGATAAATTTGCGATTAAACTTATATTAGAATCATGCTTAATAACCAGTTTACCTGGATTCAGTTGATCTTGCATCCAGTTTACCTGGATTCAGCTGATCTTGCAGCCAGTTGAATAAATTAAAGCGAGCAAAATATGACCGCTCGTTATTATTAGTTTTATGAAAATATGCAAAAACGTCGATGTGATATCACATGCCTCATAATTATATTATAGGAAATATGCAAATTTCTAAAGATATTTATCTAGCTTTAAAACAGTACTGTTTACTTTGACAACAATTTGTCATTTAAACGTATAGTATTGTTTCAAATAATACATTGTCTGATCAGCGATAAGACGGTCGCTAAGTGTCATTTTTTGAAAATAGCTAATGATACCTGCTTTTTGTTCAATTTATCAGATGACCAATCTGTTGATATATCATATCATCCGATAACAGTTTGTTTGAGTATCTTCTAAGCTCAGTTTGTTGGAAAGTATATGACATATTTTTATCACAGAAACCACTATCCAATATCATTTAAATTATACTTATCACAATCAGTATCATTCTTGTCATTATGTTTCCTTTATAATTATTATTTATTAGAGAAACGGGAAAAATTGCGCATACATTTACAAGGACTTGTTGAAAATGACAAGATAATTTGCAGAATCATAATTGCGCTAAGCTTTCAGACGAGAAAATTTCAATAAAAATTCAAAAACTTCAATTTCATTTTTAAAAACAGGTTTTAAGATTTTAATATGATAAGAAAAATGCAAACATGCACAACATGTCGACAGACAGACGACAAACATACACACAACATTGGTCATTAGTGGTAATTGAACACCTGTGTGAAATCATTATCATTTTGATTCTTGTCATTATATCTTTTTTATGATGAGTTCCTTACCAATCATTATGTTTTAAGAGGAGCTCCTTATTTTTAAGATGTATTTAATAATCACGTTTATCCGTTTTATATCAGGTTTACGTGATAAGGAAAGTTTTAACAATTATCAATGAATTTATGCTTCAAATATGGACTGTAGTGTGGACGTAATGGCTATAATGTGGACATAATACAATTCATATCACACAACCACATTCTTCAACTTTGACATTTTTTAAAGGAATCGATCGTTGCATACCATTGTTGTATTGTTCAGCGACCTTGAAAAAAAAATAGGCAAATTATAAAGGAATTGTTGAGTGTGAAGGATTACTGCTGTTTCCTAGAAGTACAGTACCATAATAATTTAGTAGCCTAGCAAGAAGTAATTACTCATGTCATTGAAATCACTCTTGTCATTGACGGATTGTTTTGGTTTTTGATGTTTTCAGTTAATTATTGGACTAACCATGCGGTACCATAATTTTCAATAATTATTTGATAGCACTTACACTGATAGATGCAAATTTAATTGGCACACAACAGACCCATTTATTTTTGAATGGATTAAAATGTAAATTTGAAATTTTCATTGCTTGTACCAAAGCATTGCGATCGTTTGTAGCCGGAAAAAGCGTCTGCTCACAGATTCCTTCGCAGAAATTCATCAGGAATCTAAACTCAGTCCTGCACAGCATAGATTAATTCATCAGGAATCTTAACTCAATCCTGCACAGCATAGATTGAATTCATCAGGAATCTCAACTCAATCCTGCACAGCATAGATTGAATTCATCAGGAATCTAAACTTAATCCTGCACAACTCTAGTTGATTTAAATACAATGCAAAACATGATGAAGGAATCTAAACATTCTGAACTAAATATAATTAAATGGCCTTTTTGTAGAAATATGACATTAGCCATTGATAATGTCATCATTGCACCAATGGGAAAACTTTTTGCCAGGAAATGATTAAATCAAACTACCCGCCGGGTGATGCTATATGCTCGAAACTGTTATTTTGAAAATGAAAATATCGAGATTTCAGGCAGCACTTTCGATTTGAGCAATCTTCATCCCTTCGAATTCCACGTTTTTGGCGAAAATTTTGCAATATTTCCACTTTTATGAGTAAGATTGGATATATTGATTCTGGACAATGATTATCACAGCGTAGCTACAAATATCTCGTCATCAAATTTTTTAATTCTAAGTATAATTTTGCTAAACCAAATTTTAAACAATAAATTGATTTCATGTCTTTTTTTTACATAAATTTTATTCATCTGTTAGCAGTTGAAATTTTATCACTGATAACTAATCAATCCACTCTTTTATCACAAAAACGATTTCGAATTAAAGAATATCAAATTAAAGACGAATTACTCGGATTATCGTTTCGTCTATTTTATCTCTCAACCATTTCACCATTTGTTTACTCAAATCAAATCTTCCATATCGTAACCTTATTGATTTGATATCATCAATAAAAATTCGTGAATTTTTTTTACCCACAATATTTAGGTTAATTATTGCCGTAATAAAATGAAGATTCTTTTCTGCTCCATTAAGAAATGATGATAGCCATTTAAATTGGAACTGATAGCAAAGTATGTTGATACCAGAGCATACCAAAGTTGAAAAAAAAATCACTCATTACTGGGAAATGTTAGGTGAACTTTAACTCATTACAGAATCAAAACAGTAAGTCAAATTGGAAAATAATTCAATAAAATATCAAAAAGTGTTCGCTGAAAAAAAAAGGAAAATTAATGGATTTGTTATTTATAAAAAGAAAAAAAACTGTATGCTTTTTGGACTCTTAAAATAATTTTCTGGCCATATCAAAGGTTTACACAATCATCGAGCCAATAACTTTACCCGTTGATAATGATTTGTTCAAAATTCATTACCTTTGATACCCTTGATCATTGATCGATACTTCATAAGACCATCAGCGGTATTATTCGTTTCAATTACAACGTTTCGTAATGTTAAATTCAAATCGTTATCAACTGATAAGAGATTCTGCAAAAGAATTGCAAAATGTTATAGATGATCATTGATGAAAGGAAAAAAAACGATCTTATCTGATAAGAAATCCTTTTATACCAAGGTAACCGTAGAATTGATCTAGAAATATTTGATTAGTTAGTTTTCAGAATAAAGTTAACAAATTGTAAACTTCATCAATACATGCCACTATTTTTGATTAATTTATCAAAAAATTACTACCTTTGTCGGTTTGATTAAATGTTGTTTGTAACGTTCAAGTACAAAATCTTCATATTCCCATACTGTAAGCACATTCGATGATACTGCTAATATCATCGTATCATTTATATCCATAACGTTCACAGCCAATGCTATTTGGCAAAATAAACAAAAAAACGAAGACATTTGCAATCGTTTCTTCTAAAAAAAAAAGATGTACAATTATGAAGATTGCCGATTGCCGCCGCTCTATCCATTTCCGCCCATTTTATCTTTTAAATGGTAATATCACCGACGTATTTATTCTTTTCTTGTTTTGTTGATGATAGTGCAAATAGATGGCAAATGACACATATTTTCCTACCAAAATTATTTTAAAATTGGAATAGGCAATTGCAATTTTCTTTCTTTCACAAAGTTTTCATGCTTGTTTAAATTTTTTGAAAAACCACAATCATATCTTGGCATGTGCAATTGTCGCACATACATATTTACTAGTGAAAATAATTTAAAGTATATTAAGTCATTGGAAATAATTAAATTGCGGAAGTATATTTTATTAGGAATTAAGACAAAATAAAAAAAGTGAAATTTGAATAAACAGGTTTGATATTAATTTAATATAGAATAAAACAAATTCGAGTAATACTAACTTTAGCAATATCTAATCTATAGTAGTTCATGAAAAAGATTAGCAATACTTTATAGTTGCATATTTGTACTTCTCGTGTGTTTTTCAAGATGTTTTTCTATATGTTAACATACAGATATATCTTTTTTCCCTTAAACTTTGACCTTATCAATTTATTTATCATTTTAATTATTTCCCTGTTTGTTCAACAAATGATTTATAGTTGTATTCATACAACAAAATATGCAAGTTACAAATAAATTTAAATAACAATTTTAATTAAATTTGTTCATTTGGTTGAAGAAATTTGTAACATTTCGGCTTTTTTCATGTCCGATGGATCAAATGTTGTTTTTGTTGATGAAACTTCCCCTTGCTTTGCCTGAAAATTTCAAATTTCATGTTTGTTAATTAATTTGCCTTTTCTCTAGCATAAAATGATGCTAATCTTAAAGTACTCTATACATGTGTAGTTAATTAAATGCTAATGCTCAAAATAACAATTTCAACATCAAACGCTGCTATACTGGGAAGTAATTACTACCGCAAACTTGGATACGGTAACTTTTAGTTAAAAAAAATTTATTCGTTCAACCATTAAAGCCTAAATCAATCAAAATATTTTATATATAAACTATTCGTGTTGCAAAATGCATAACTTCTAAGAATTTCATTTTATTTTTTAGGAAATATTCCAGCAGGTAAAAAAAAAAGGCATCCTAAAGGATTGAATGTGATAAAAATTAGATAATAAATGTATCTTCAAAGGGAGACATTTATTTATTTAATTCTTATCATTATTATCATCAGTGAAATTGGTCAAATTCGCATGCAAGTTAGAAAGTTTAAACGATGATTAAAAGGAATGTTTTTTTTTTCTTTTCTTTCTTTTTCTTTTTTTTTTTAATCATTGATATTATAAGCTCTTTTTTATACATCAAAGGTATATATCTCATATTAAATGTTGCTAATAATTCATTATTTTTCAATGAAATTTTAAATTTAGAAAATATGTAATACTAACTAAACAAGCATAGCATATTTTATAGTTCTCTTGATAGCATACGGAACAATAAGCTGCTGGACAATTCGAACAATATATCAAATTTCTCTTACGATACTTTACTTCACACATCAAACATCTTCTGGTTTTGAATAGGAAATCTAAAATTTCCTCCACTATTGTTTCAGCAAATAATTTGCTGAAATAAAAATATCGGTTAACTTTTGATCATTTAATACGGTAAATTACATCATGCTATAATTGCTTTTACGTCATGCTATAATTGCCATGTTTGGAACACTAACTTACGTCAAACACAATAAATCATTACGTAATAGTGCAAGTGAATCGATAACATTATACATGCAATTAGGTAGATCTAAAGGTTAAAAAGCAATTAGTTCACCTTTTTTGTCGGATTTCCTCACGTTGTAAAATTCTACGTTGCACTTGAAAACGTATTCGTGCTCGTGCTAATTTTCGACCATTTGTCCGTACAAAAGCATTTTATTATAAAGATGTATGATACGTGCTTTGTTACGCTTACGAAAAATATTTCCAATAACGCAAAAAAGAGTAATACGTTTGATTACATAACCAAATGTAACCTAAAATAATAATAAAATCCTCAAAAATGACAGTTTTTTGAAATCTTTTAGAAAATCATTTAATTTAAAATATTGTAGCATTTAAGATAATTAAATTAATAATGGTTAGAAGTCAAAAGAATTAAAATTTCAAATTTAGAATTTCATTTTATTCCGTTAAAGCACAATCATTTCATTTAATTCAATTTAGCTCAGTTCACAACATTCAATATAAATCATCGTTAAGTATTTTATCCCTCGTCTTTTTTTTCTGAAATTTAATACAAACACAAAAAAAGTAAGCGAATTTTATGTCAATCACATGATATGCAATTTAGTGATACCTGAAGAAGAAGCATAATTGCAAGTGGGAAGAAAATATATTTTCCAACATACGGCCAATTCGGTGATATTGGATTATAAATGCATTTCTCTAGCGAAACTGTTACGTTTCTATGACTTTGATAATCAAATTCGATCATCTCTTTTACTAAATCAGCTATAAATCCAGTACCATCAATCTGAAGTAAATGGTACTTCTTCTATATCAGCATTCTTTTTCATTCGTTATATTCCCGAACTTCATCATCAATTGGTTTCACGAGAAATATTGTCAAACGATTAATTTAAAATAATACCAAACGAAATATTATCAAACGTTATCGGATAGCAAAAGTTGTCTTCAACTTTTTAATTTCACACATATAACAGATTTGGAATGTTAGCACAAATTCAAAAAAAAAACCTTAAAACTGAATAGTTGTTGATCTTCACTTGTTACGTATTTTGACGTATATTTTGAGATCTGCAACGGATATTGATTAGATTGAGTGAATATCTAAATAAATCTAAAAATTTTCAGTAAATTCCAAACAGTGGGTCACTCTAATGACTAATGAATTTGATACTGACAAAATTGAATAATGGAATGAATTTCATTGGTATGTCTCTAATTAAAACCACAGCTTACATTATAGATGATTTTATGAAAGACAAAATCAACAAAAACAATAAATAAAGCGGTGACAAGTAAAAATGTAAATTTTGCAAGTGGCAACCATGAAGCACGTATTTCTGCTTTTGTTGGAGGTCTGAAATTTATCACTTACAATAAAGATAAGAATTTAAATCAGTGATTTACTTAGGAGTTAAAACTGACTGTGATAATGGAGCACAAACTGACGTATGACAATGTAACACACGTTTATCAAATGAATATTTTTGTTTCTCAAACATCTTTTTTTTTCTTTTTTAAAGAAACTTACGAAATTGGTGTCATCAAATTATTTGCATGAATTTCAGCTTTACTTAATGGATAAAGAAATACTTTTCCCTCATTTTTACGTTTACGATCAATATGCCAAAAATATGGTGTCAAATAAACATTATCAAAATCGATATCATTCAGATAATTACGTATCATTTTGACAGAATTGCGAAATATGGTATAAATCATAATGACAAATAAACAACCCAAAATTTGTTTCAATGTTATCAATATTATCTGTAAATTTCTTTTTTTTTAAACTTGCTATGACAAATTATAGCCTATTGATTTTAAAATATTATTTAGGCCTTTGATAATTTGAACTAAGTACAAATTAATATATTGCTAAGATTTTTTTTTGCCCTCTTTCTCGATGTGTGTAAAATTTTGGTAACATTGTTTTCTACGGTAGATGCATTTATCACTTACTTTCTTAAAGCTTAAAATAGTAGTGCTGTATTAAAAGCAATCCTGAAACTGCAGTGAAACCTGAAGAAAAAACCTGAAACAAATTGTCCTGATTATCTTATTACGAAATTTACTTTTAATAAGCGAAAATTTTGAGCAATTCGATATTTCACTTCCTTTATTCCGTAAATTCGTACATTCCGCGGTTCAACGATTGCTCGATAATGCATCTAAGAATATTTATCTCGTTTACTATTTGCAACTGTGATTATTAATCATTATCAAAAAAAAGAAAGAATTTTGAAAAAAAAAAACACTAACGAACGCAAACAATATTAACACATTAACATTAACATTAGCATTAGTATTACCAACAACATTAACAGCAACATTAACATTAATATCAATATTAACATTCAAAATTAGCATTTTGAATGTTAACATTAATATTAATATTAATATTAACATCAGCATCTTACATTGACGCGAAGATGATCCAAAATATCTTTGGTTAAATTATGCGCATCTGTCAAATCATTGTCTAAATTTTTGGTCCGTGATAGCACCTGGTTTGTCATTTGATCACAAAATGTAACCGCTTCAGAAACCTTTAATTCATATCACTTACGAGTATCGAAGTGAACGAGTTTTTTTTTAAAAAGAAAAGAAAAGTAATCGGTCGCCTCATAGGAAGATGCAAATGTTTCATTTTTATTTTTACCTTAAATATAACTAATTTTCGCTCAAATAAACATATTAATGCTTATAAATGTGTTTCTAAAAAGAAGAAAAAATAATTCTTAATGCTTATAAAATAAAAATTTTTAAAGACAATTAATTGGAAAATTCGAAAACCTTTTTCGAAACTTGACAAATTTGAAGTGTATCAAATTTATCACAAATAAATCCTTTAAATAACGGTAAAAACCAAAGAATGGTGTAACATTTATTCTGGAAATATATAATTATTTCTAAGTATTTGTGCAACAAAAATTTTTCAATTGTTCCATTTCCTATGTTTGTTTTTATTGTTTAATTTATTCATCGAATAAATTTTACAGCAAACAGAAAAAAAAATTCTGTTACACAAATTGTACTTAAATTGAATATTATCTGTAATCAAATGTATTCCCTATTTATGTACTTACTTTGACTAATTACTTCCATCTTTAAAATCGTGCAACAAAATCATACCTTCATATCGCGAAATGTATCATGGCATTTCTTCACTCCTTTATCGAATACTTCATTACACTGATAATGCATACGTATTGATAGCAGTTTAGAAAGCTAGTAATTTTTAAGATCAGAAAGATAGTAAGAGCAAAATTAGGTCAAATTCATTGTCAATATGTTATCACTGTTATCATCACAATTTTATGATACCAATCACCTCGTATTACAAATGATTTTATTTTCCATATCTTTTTTGCTTAACTGGAATATTTTAGTGACATAAAATCTTCTAATTGTTTTGAAATTATCGAATAAAGATTTTTGTTTTTTTTTCTTTTTTCTACTGAAATGGATTATACTTTTGACTTCATTTTATTCCAGGCTGGTGCAGCGGATTTCTGCATTTTATTTTCTGTATCGCTTTTTACATCGTCCGGTTCCTTATTCAGCATCGTATCACGTCTCTGTAGAACCTTAAAGAAGCAAGACAATGTGCCATTCAAGTTAAGTTATAATTCATTTCAAAATATTGTAAAGTGGTAGTTATAGAAAAATTTTTGGACAACTAAATTTTGACAAATTAAATTTTAACAATTCCAACTTATGTCACAACTATCACAACTCCATAGCAATATTCAATTAGTAACACTGAAATATTCATCTTAATTTTTGTCAGAATTATTCCTTTTTAATAAGAATTATTACTATCATTAATTAATAATCAATAATTGTCTCAAAATGGTGATAAAAACAGGCAGAAGATTAAGTTTATTGTCGAAATTCCCCAAGGATTACTTTAACTAAGTACGACACAGACTTTTATAATTCTTTTATCGTAGCATGAAAAATGAAGGAAAGAAATGAAATTTTCATTGCTAAACCTCAGCAGCATCAATTGTTGCTGCCAAAGCTTTATCTTCATCACTTAAGGTGAAATCATACTCAATTGGTTCTACCAATGATTTTAACATTGCTATCACTTTTCGTCCTTTTGAAGTTGATTTACCTGAAATTAAGCATTTTTCTTTTTACAAATTAGGGAAATTCTCACCATTTTTTAAGAGATATAATTTAAAATGATAATTTAAACGAACTTATTGTCAATTTTATTGTTAATCATTAAGGTGATAATGTGTCGTCGAAGCGGTGAAATCGTCATTTAACAATGGGATTTGCTGTTTCCTATTCCTAAGAGTTGTGAAAACTTTGTTAAATATTCAAGTTAGTTTAGGAACGGGAGTTCCAGAATTAACTTGGAAATTTCAATTTTCACCCCAAATTTTAATTTTTACTTTTTGAATTTTCAGTCTAACACATTTTTCAACCTAAAAAAACTTCCAAATATTTCCACGATAATTGTCGCTGAAATCGCGAGGAGAAGCAGTGAATCAATTGCTTTGATACTGTTGGTATAATGCATTGCATGTATAGATATATTGTGCAATGCAAATTAACATTGTGTATCCACTGTGTTTATGTTGTCTAATAATAATAATTCTTGTGACCCCAGAAGTGACCTCAGAACTGACCTCGGAACTGACCTCAGAACTATCCATGGATCTGTCTATTCGAGAAAGAAGAAGGTCCTGAGCGCCAAATCATTTTCGAAAGACGTATTCCAACAGGTCGGTTGGAAAGACGAAAACGGGCGTCATTTGGTCTTTGGTCCCCCTTTTGTTCATATTGATATTATAATTGTTGAATTAGTTCCTGTATTAACCAACTCATAGGAATAAAGGTTTAATTGCCCAAGTCTGAGGTACTACCAACTGAAGAGGCAGAAAGAACCCTTAGTTTTTGTCACGGTTGAAGAAAATCGGCGACAATAGTTTTAAACCACAATAATTTGGTTCAAAATGAACCACATTTTTTTGGAATAAATCACTTATGATTCTATTAGCAATAAATTGGAAGTGGTACCATTGTAAAACCCACCAAACTGCTTGGCCATAAAATTTTCAACTGGGCCAGTGGCCATAACAATACGTTGTGTCATCATATCCTCTTTTTGCTTGATATGACATGTAATCGTATTTGCACTAACTTGAAAATTTCGTACGATATTTTCTATCGGACCAGTGCTCAAACTATTCAGAACTATAACGGTCAATAGATTTTGACCATTTTTACCCAATGCGCCAAAAAGGACACATACAATTGCACATCGAAATAACTGTAAGAAAATCTCATGTCGCTTTGATTTATCAAATTTTAAATTTGATTTTCATTAGAATTTCACAAAATTTCCGATTCTTTGTTTGCAAGCTTAAAAATTATCCAAGTCCAACAAAAATTATGCAAATGTTTTATATCAAAAAAAATTTTTTTGCTTGCAAAAATTTGATAAGAAATATAAAAGTAACACCGGACTAATTGCAAATGCTATTGCACAAGCAAGAATAAGTGACCATTTCAAGATTTGTTCCGCAATTTTATCAAAATCAGCAAAATTAATTTGATGCCAGGCTAGAAAGTTAAATTTGTTTATTGATATTGATGTTTAGGGGACTAAATTATTGATTTTTTAATTATTTGGTATGAAACGATGATTTGTCACTTTGATTAGGAGATAATTTTACTATCAAACGAAATATGATAAGCGTGATGTGAGTAGTAAGTATGATATTGAACTCTGATAGTATTTTAATACTATCAGAGTTTTTCATTTTTTTTAATTTTTGAAATTTTAAATTGATTTTTTAAAGAGTAAATTGATTTTTTTTAAAAATTATTAACCAAATTTGTAGAGCAAAAAAGCGATCAGAAAGCCAATAGGAAAATTAATAAAAATTCTTAGTCCATGATAATCGTAGACGCCACTGTAGAAGAAAATATCAGCAAATTTTGTACGGCCAAGACGAATTCTTCGCTCTTCTCGATATGGCTCGATAAGTAATTTTCCAAACATTTTCAAAGCAACCAAACCTCAAATGAATAAATGATTCAATAACAATCATTTTGCTTTTCTTTTATAATATATAGAAATCGACTATAGCAATAAAAAAACAAATATTAAAAAAAAATAGAAAATAAGTTTTTTTTTGTGCCCGGATAATGACAAACTTATATCTCAGAAATATCAATTTCACATTAGAATTGCCGGGGAAAGATTTTGTAATTTATTTTTTATTGTTGTTACATTGGTCTTGTATGATATTGTACAGTATCACACTGATATAACATTAAGGACGGAATGAACAATACGTAACAAGTATTAAAGGATACCAAACGGTCCTATCGCTCGTGCTGCTGGACTGTCAAACTGCCGCTTCTCGCCGTTGAACCGTTGTCAAACTGAATGCTTGGCTAAGCTGTCGCCTTGAGTGCTTTGTGCTGGCTTCTCCGGTTGAGTGAGCAAGCTGTCGGATTTCATAACTGCAGAAGTTTTCGAATCGAAAGACGACTACTCAAGCATTTGGACTTGATAACTGACCACTAGAATGATTGATCCTAGCTCCTTATGTAATGGAAGTCGTTTAACATTCTAGATACATCAGCTTATAGAGATCCTTTATAAGATTTCGACATTTGCATATAAGTTCTTTGCAACATTTCAACAATTGCACGTAAGTTTGATTAATAGATTAGAAACAATTTACAACGAAAGGGCTTGTCTGCAATATTTGAACATTGCAATTAAGATTGACTAAAAAAATAGAAGAGATGGATTTAAATGAGTGATTCATCACTTTAGATATCAAAATATTTATTTTATTAATTTGGATAAACAATTTATCACTTTAGATAACATAATGTATTATTCGTTTTGTGTAATGGATCACTTATCTAAGAAGTATTCTGAATTCCAATTAAAACAACTCACAACATCTTTTCGCTTTTACCGACAAGAATAGTGTCCTGATAACTTTATACTTATCACTTCAAAAGTATACCATTTTTAAGAAATCATAATTACCACTATTAATGAAAGCAGAATTTCTGTAAACTAATTTATATGTGAATCACTTTTACAAAACTGAATGGCAGGAAATGCTTTTTGATATTACAAATTTTATTGTGTGTTTGATACCAAATATATAATAAAGATGTATTTGGCATTAAATAGCAAAAGTTCACAGACAAATAGCAGTATTGATTGATAATAAGATTGCATTTATAAAGATGGCAGCCAATATAATATGGAAAATGTGAATTACAAAGTAAAAAGAAAAAAATCGCTCAGATGAAAGAGAATGGACTATAAATTGATGAAAATTGGAAACTGCCAACTTGCTGAAGAATTACTGCACATAAAACAAGTAGGAATATTAATTAGTCATAAGATTAAATTTTTATGAAAAAAGATCACAATAAGAAATGTTCTTTCGCTAAAACCTTTTGAAACATTTTTGTCCGATGATTTTATAACAAAATGACCGATGCACCTTAGAAAAATCTACCATTTGTGTCATATAGCAGAACTATCATTGTTTTTGTCATTCATTGCAACATATCGTACAACTCTAGAATTTCTCGGTGCCATGATTCTTAGGAAATGAAATTCGTCTGATCTATTTCGCTTGACTCATGCACCAGTTGAAGAAAATATGCAAAGTGGTCAATATTTCATGTTCTAACTATCACAGACATTATTCTTAAGCATAATCTGTTGTAGAGTTTTTGAAGAAATGCTTCAGTTGCAAATTCATTTATCAAAACAATAGCAAACTTTAGATAGGTGAATAGCTTTTTTTTTTTCTTCCAATCACATTTTATATTATCACTTGCATTACATTTGCAACACTCCAGCAAGCAGATTGAAAATTCTAAATTGCACAGCCACATTCCATCACTTTGACATTTTCCAATATGCGATTAAATTCAATACCATTTCTGTTTTCCACAATCTGAAACATTACTATGGTCATTTCTTCCGTATCAATAAAGTATCTTCAAATGGTTTCGAATGAAACAAGCTAGTGGTTTGCATACTTTGACCATTAGACAATCTTTCTAAGCCATAAGAAAATTATGCAACATGTCTGAAATAACACATTATTACCGAATCTAAGTAATAAAAAAAAATCTAAGTCTGAGAAATTTCTGACTTACAGTGACGCATGCATTGTTAATACATTCAATGTATAGAAGTAGTAACAGGAATTAAGTCGTACCTCAATTGATGACCATCTAATTGGTACGCAACAAGAAAGTCTTCGCCAAAGCGGACCTTCTGGATGATTTTTTCTTTCTTGCAAAATTAAAGCATTACGATCGTTAGTTTCAATTTGCATAATGCATTCGCCCTCACAGAAATTCATATTGAATCTATAACAGTCAAAATTATGACCATATTTATAGGAAAGTTTTGTATGACAATAAACATTTAAATCTAAAAATGAAATATTAATGTGTCATGTTTGCTTTGACCGTAATCTCAGTCCTTTAATCCGTAATTTCAGTCCTTCTCCTCTTCCGTGGCATGAAATGCATTTAAAAGAAATCTTCCATTCTTGAAAATTAATGAAATTAATTTACATACCCTGATGGCCTGACAATATTATCCATACCGTGTTCATGGAAATCAAAATATATACTTTTCAGGCAACACAATCCATAATTGCAATCTTGATCAGTATTTCTTCTTTTTCGAGTATTTTTATGCCCTATAAAAATATTTTGACAATTCCACACAACAACCCAATTTTGTACATCTTATAAAAGCGCTCAGAATCTTGGGCATTTACTGAAATTATTGAACATTTATTGAAAAGGCGTTTACTGAATTTGATTGCAATAATTTGGGATAAATAATTCCAAAAAGAATCTTATGCATCTCATAAATGAAAGCGTTCGAAATCTTTTTGGGCATTTATTGAGCTGATAAATTTAGCCACAATAATTTGGAATAACTATTCTAAAGAATTCTAAAAAGAAAAATTTCTTTTGACCTCCAGAAATTTTAAATTTAAAATTCGAAACAACACACTTAAACATCTCGGACTACTGTAACCCTTACGAAAATGACGCAAATTGATCATAGGTCTCACCTGTATTACTAGAAAGGTTGTATCTGCTGCTTAATCTGTCAAATCTATTATTGTGTTCGGTACTTTGATGAATCGGCATTAAATTTTTCTGAAATATACTTCATCAAATTTCAAGAAAATAACAAATAGGTTAAGTCACATCCGCTTAATGAAAGGATGTCATACTTCGCGGTTTAATTTCATTTCAAGTCCCCATTATGTAATTTTTCCGATAATAGATTACAAGGGAAATTAGAGTAAAAGAAATCAATAAAGTGGTAAAAATTTTCTAAAAAAATGAAAAAAGCCAGAACAAGAACAAGAAAACAACGAGTAACTTACCAAAATGCCCAATATTCAAAATCATTTTTAACAGAAAAATCTTAACCTTTTCTATAGATCGAGTAGCAGAAAATAATTCATTCGCTTCAAATAAGTAATTGCCAGAAGGTGACGATGATGACAATAATGATGTTAACGATGATAATGACAGATTTGAAGATAATAAAAATGATCTCGACGGTAATGATGATAATGATCGTTCATGGATTGGACAAGCGAAAGAAATAAGAATCACTGCTGCAAGTAAACTTGCTTCCACTGGAAACCATTGAAACATTTATCACCACATGCAAATAATTACACTTGTTTCAAACATAAATTTGATGATCGAATACTGATGACAGGAAGGGGGAAAAACTCCCGCCGTCGATTTTGTTTAAAAGTTCATTCGTGTTCATGCCATTAAAGCATCATCTTTCCTTTTGATTTCTCTTTGAAATTATATTCAATGTAAAAGCAATCTTTTTCATTTAAAATAAAAAAAGCTAATTTTGAAATGAAAAAGGAAGTCCAACTGTGAAAGTATTCTTAATGAATCATTGTCTGAATTTAAATTAGCGTATATGTATTTCAAAAATTTGAATATATGATTCGATTTGCAGAAGCAAGTGTTAAGATAATAAAATGATCGTGCCTTAAAAATCGCAAAACTTTAGTGATAACAATCGTATTACTTATGTGAGGGAGTAATTTTCTTGCTAAAGTCATTTCTTAACACTTAATTTTCTTTAAATTAACTTTAAGTTAATTCTGTTTAGGTTTATTTAATCTTCTATAATTAAAATTATACTTCCTTGCTAATATTTCACCTTGTATAATCCATGCATCTTTGACAACAAAGCCAATTAGCTTATTTTATTCAAATTAGTTATTTGATAGGAAAAAAATGCTACAATATGTTGTATATTATAATTTTAAATTACATTAAATAAAGGAATGATGGGCTTTGTGGATATATTGAATTCGATATCTGACTGAAGCAAACTTAATGCTTTTCGAAATGTTTGTGATACTTTGCCTAATTAACGCCGCTATTTCTTTACATTTTCTTTTGTGCGTATTACCTTAATCATGTACATTTCTTGTTGTGGTGACACTATACATAACAAGTGATCATACAAGTTATTCGTGTATCTCATATTTTTATACTTTGTTTTACTCATAGACAAGCTATTTTTTTCGATCGCTACGATGCATTTCAGTGATTGTTAGGTATAAATTGATCATGGTCAATGATTCCAATCCAGTTCAGATATACTTCATCCAGTTGAGTAACTAATTCCTCAACTTTTCAGCATTTCGAGTAATCATAATAATTACTTAACAATCAGCAAGTCAATAATCGTTAATCAACAATCAATAATCACATGGGGAAATGAAAAAATACCAAAAGATGGATCAGCAGTCAGCAACGACAAACCTTTTTGCTCTTTTGCTCCTCTGTTATGCAAAGATCTTGTCACACTATTGACACTTTCACAACGAGCACCAAATAAAAACTCGTTGATTTGATGGGAATTCTGGACCTTTTCTTCTTCAAATAATCGCACAATTTTGTTGCTACAAAAAAAGTGTATGTCCAAATAAAATTTCATAAATATGAAAATACTTAAGTCAGTCAAAAGGGAATACTGAGTGTTGGACGTCTCAAATGTAGATGAATTTCATCTCTTCCGACAAGAAGATGATTTAAAGTTATCTTTTTTGCCACTCTGTTGGTTACTACTGAAGTTACGCAAAAAGAAATAAGTATTAATGAATTAGTATGATGCTAAGGTTAAAGTATATCGAATACTTCGTTAAAGTATATCGAATAATTATATGATGCTAAGGTTAAAGTATCCGAAGTTAATATATGTGCTTTGCTCGTTTTTGATTGTTTCTCAATCTTTCGAAGTTTTCCATCCTCAAGTTTAATCAATTCTAATTAAACCCCATTAACCTTAAATTTCGAGTTAAATTAATTTATCCGAATGCAATTTATTTGATTCCATATACTTCCTTCCAGTCTTCCAGTCTACATACGTTTCGTTCTTGAAGTTTTTCATGAAGTTGTGAAGTTTTGAAGCCAGATTTTAATTTCAGTTATCTTAAGCTCAACTATTTTAATTAAATCCCATTAATCTTAATTAAATTTTGAGTTAACTAGGCGAAATTTTATAGAATTACTCAACTCGAATGATCATTTTTCGACCGCTTTTCAATCTTTCGAAATTCTCAATTCTTGCATTAATTCTAATCAAATTTCAAGTCAATCTGATCTAATTAATTACAGTAAATTAGTAGCAAATGTTAACTGCTGTTCTTTTATTGTATTTCCACAGTTGCCTCCAAATATTTCTTTTCGCCGCCAAATCACTGATACATGATAACATTTCCGCACATCATGGAGTACCATGTCGTGAAAACGAAGAGTCAAATAAATTCATTCACATTGTAAATTAATGTT